TTCATTTTTGTCCACAGCCTCATGCAGGTGAGCTCTTTGAGGCTTTCTGAGGGCAGCAAGATCTGATTTAATCTACCTGGGCCTTCAGAGAGGTTTTGGAAACCAGCCTTTGTAGAGCATCAGATGGGTAAGCTTGGGTGTTTGGGCAAGGTCACGTGGAGCAAGTCACACATTCTCATATTTATGAGACGAATGGCCCACTCCAGGCCTGCTCTAGAGATACAGCAATCCTGCAAGAAGGATAAGAAATTTTTCTTGAGGATAAGTTTTTTTTTCTCTCTAGAGGTTCCCACGAACTGCCCAGTATGGAAGCTCTGACTCGCTGTAGATATTCCCCTTTGTGTTGCTGCTTAAACTAGAGCAAAGTGCATGGCAGATGTTACCGTTTTGAACTACTTGCCTTTTATGGCCACTCTGCACCGACACCAATGAATACCGACGGTGACAGAGCATCCCAAAACAACAGCATGTATAAGGACAAGGACTCCATCTGTGGTCAGGGTCATTATTGGGAGTGGAGATTTTAATAGACCGGCTTGTCATCTACTTGAAGGCAACCTGTTCCCAAAATATCCTTGCCTACATGTATCCCTGCATGCACTGTGTCCATGTCATCATCATTCACTCATCCAAACTGAGATCCTAAGATGATGACCTCCCCATTCAGGGACCAGCACTATTTTGGTGCGTGTGGAATAGGGCTTTTTGAGGGCATAAGGTGCATGGGTTTTTGGGGTCTTCCCTAAAACATTCAAGGTGCTGGCAGATCACTAAGAGGTTTACACTTCTCTGCCATAGAGGCCAGTTGCTGTTCTTCGGGGGAGGTATCACAGACTGACCTTGACTACATACCTCATAAAGGTCAATGATGATATTCCCTTCCAACCCTCGGCTGCTCTTCACATTCTCCAAAGCCAAGGTAAAGTAGACCCCTCGGATGTCGGAGATGTAAAGGTTGTAGGTATCGTTCTGGTTCCACTCTTGCACGGCTGCAAATACCTGATTCTCATCTGTGCTGATGATATGCATGTCCTGTTAAAGGAAGACAAAAAGCCTATTGCGGTGGATCTCTATATTTCTTTGCCCTTTGGGACACATAGTAATTATTGTGACTTATGGAAGAATTGTGAAGGAGCATGAATTATAGGAGGTGTTAAACAATTTTCTGTTAGACCAAGCCAATAAATTACCTCCATCGTAACTTTTCTGGGGTTTTTTTTTCCCTTTTTAATGGCCCCAGGGTGGGTGAAGGATTTTCCACATTTTTGGTAGCTTCAAGGAGTTTCATCTGGCTTCATTCTTTATTTATAATCTTCAAGTCAGTTTTATCACTGCTGGAAGATTCACAGCCCTGGAGTCTGAAGTCCTCTCTTTGCTCACTAGCTGAGGTGTAGCAAAAGCAATGGTGGAGTGACATGTGCACTGGTGAGCCAACGGGAGCGGGCAAACCACTGCTAGGGATGGTAGGGATGGAATCAAGTCGACAACAAGCCTCTCTTTCAAGGCTGCCAGGAAGGGTGCCACTGTGCCAATGGAGATGTCATTTTTAGAGTCTGAGACACTTGTCCATTGAGAGCTGGCTTGGACTCCACTAGTTCACTCTACACAGGCCTCCAAAAGCCACCATCAGCCACAGCTAGGTTACAACAGGAGTCCAGGATGTGAAAGGCTTCACGGCTCAACCTGAACCCCCTTGTCTTATATGAATACCAAGAAGTTCTGCAGATACCACCACTACTTCTTAATATTCTCTTGGAGGGGACTCATTTCCAAATCCCCAGAGCTGGCCGATAAAAGGTATACATCCATTTACCCCTTGCCATCCTTGCTGAGCCAGTCAATGCCGGCACCAGTCAGCAGTGACTGAATGTTGATTAACGAAGGCCCTGAAGTGGCTGTTTTAAACCTTCGGAAAGCTAATTCCCAGAGATCCCAAGGAGTCTTGATTAATTCCCTGTTCTCCTTCTGCACTGAGGAGTTTCTGAACTACCTCATCCACTGACTTTTCCTTTGTTGATAGACACGTTGTATTTAAAAGATGTCCAGAAAGGAGGGACAGACTACAGAGATGGTTATCAGAGTTGGGGGGTGAGTTAAAATCTCAGCTTGTTCATCTTCAAGTTGAGCTTGGAGAGAACACCTTGGAGAAACCTCAACCAGATCAGAATGCAAGAGTCTTCTGGGCTATTCTACGTGTGTCATTTGGGTGGATTGCATGGGGCTGTTGCCTAATTCAGGCCTAATTCACCCTGTCAGAGTGACATGAAGAAAGAAACTTAATCAGCCTCTGATCTTGTCAGGTCTAAACCTGCTCTGCTGAAGGCAAGGAAGATTTGCCATTCACCTCAGTAGGAGCATGATCTGAGCTGGGTTCTTACCCAACTTCTTTAATTGCTTAAAGACTAAGGACCAAACGTTGGAGGAATAATCAGCCCAGCATCTCAGTCTATTTGACCAGCTGTAGTGGAGATGCTGAATTAGCCCTAGCATAGGTATAACACACATCCATCTCTGGTAGGGTTCATTAATCTACAGTGGAGAGAACAGTTACTATTGCAAAGGCTGAGTGTACTGGCGACCAAGGGCAGCTTGAAACAGGATGCTTTACATGGCTAATGAGATTTCACTATGACAACTTGCTTAAAACCAGTTTCCATTTTTAAATGACTACAACAGTCCCAGCTTTATGTAACGTAACAGTCCAGGACCCAGACAGCCAACCCTGCCCTTACACAGAGGCCAGAAATCCACCGTAACTTCAGCCAGCGAAGCTGATCGATAGCCATGTAGTTATTCTTTCATATCACCTGTCATATTAAAAAAAGGGCATCTTCTGGTGCCAATCTATAAAGCAGCTGTTGAGACAGCACTTCTGCAGAATAAATGGATGAAGAAGTTTTAATGGGGTGAGAGTTTATACAACAGCTATGTCCCTATCCAGTGAAGAAAAGCCAAGGGAATGCTTGCATCTCGGTGGCATAAACAGGATCACAGTGGAGTTGGATCAGACATGAATTTCAGGGTGGCTTAACTCAGTTGCGATATGTGGACACCAAAGTGCAAATCCTTCTTCGTTGCTAAACACAGGCAGGTGCTTCTTCAGCTCAAGGATAATGCAAGCATCTCCCAACCTGCTGGACTGTCCCGCCAAGTGCTGCAGTAAAGATTTTCGTCAAAACTCAAAGGAGTGAAGAGCTTGTACAATAACCAGCAACAGAGATGAGAGAAAGGTCAGCTTTCAGATAGCTCAGGCCATGCAGCTCCATTTTGACAGACAATACAGCTCCTACTCATCACCAGTCAGTCAAGCAATGGATTTATGTGTCTGAGCATTCAGATTATTTTATGCCACCTCTTCTGCTGAGGACGGAGAAGAGGAGGGGCGGGAGGCTCTGAGGGAGTCAGGTACACTCCCATGATTCACTGCCCAGTGCTACTCACAGGTGAGAAATGCCTGAGGGTTTTCTGAATAACAGCGGTCAGCTATTGTCCTCTCCAGACCAAGCATGGGATTCCCACCACTTTGACCCCTGCAGATACATATGCTTAAA